TTCCCTTCTTCCAGTCATCAGGAACTTCACTGGACTGGCATGTCCTCTCAAATATGATGGACAGTGGCCGAGCAACTTCATTCACCAGCTCCTTCAGGACCCGTGGATGGATTTCATCAGGTCCCATGGACTTGTGCACGTTCAGGTTCTTAAGGTGGTCTCAAACCTGATCCTCTCCTACAGTGGGCCTAAGGTCTTCATTCTCACAGTCCCTGCGTTTGCCTTCCAAGGCTTGGGTGGTGTGGTCTAAGCATTTGCCAGTGAAGATAGAGGTGAAGAAGTCATTAAGAACCTCAGACTTCTCCAAATCCAGGGTAGCCAGTCCTCCCGATAGCTTCTGGAGAGGGCCCACATTGTCCCTAGTCTGCCTTTTGTTTGCTACATACCTTTAATGTCCATTTACCCACAAGTTTGTCTAATCCCTTTACAAACTTCTTCATCTTATCTGCCTCCACAATTTCCTGTGGCAACACATGCACTGTTCATGGTTGTAAAAGGTATTTTCATTATTATTTTTTAAATCTTTATGGAACTGACCTGCTAGCTTCAGTCAGTGTCCCTTAGTTAATGCTGCAGGATTTAGTGAATAACAGCCTCCTAGACACCTGCCTATTTGAATCCACTGAAGATAACAGGAGCTTACTGTGAGCAACACAAACTTAAATATACAACTTTTAGATGTGCGTGTTGGGGCAGTAGAAGACCGATGCCTTGGTTTTCAGTATCTTTGCCTTCTTCACATCTTTTGTCTCCCTCATATTACCACCTCTTTGGACTGGGAATGTACTGGTAGTTATTAATCAGCACAATTGCATGATCTTTAGAAACAGTAGAGAATTACAAGTCAGATACAAAAGCCAGTCAAACAGTGCAAGGATGGCCTCTTTTCAATAATTAATTTCACAGTACTCTTACTAAAATAGGAGATGTTAATTTGGAAATAGCAAGTGAAATTTAATTAGAAAGCTTATATTTCTAGATATGCCTGTTATCATGTCATTTAAATTACTATATTTAAAATCAGAACACTTGGAGGCAAGTATTCTTCCTGGTTAAACTGAGGGGGGAAACGATGGCATAAGCAAGGGAATCAGAAGATAGACTATGACCATTAAACATAAATTAACAAATCTACTCATAGTTGGCTTATCTGTTAGTCACAACAATAAATCTGTGATACAACAGAATGATTACAGTAGTGTCTTGTATCAAAGCAAACACACGGGGTGGCATGAGTTATTCTCAGCTGAAAGTCATAAGCCTAGAAGCTATTCCCTGATAGATATAAATAGAAATAGATGTCTGAAAACATCACATGAAAGAGGAACCAATGGGAATGTCATCGTCACTAAGCATAAAAGAAGGTCAGGGAACATTAGCCAACCTTGCTATAGAAGCAAATGTTTCTTAGACAAGTTAAATACATGTACTTCCAGACTTCCCCCCCAAGATGGAAAAGAACACTCCTGCAGAAATCCACCAAATTCAAACAAATTCTGGTCCCTCTGTAATACCATAAGGGAACACATTTCACCTAACTCAAAGGGCATGGTGGGGACAGCCAGGGAGAGCATGGGGAAAAGTGGGAGAACAGGAGATGCAAAGTCAGGGCAAGCTAAGTTGGTGATCTTGAATAAAGTCACTGATGTACTCTTTAGACTTGGATGTATCACAACATCACTCCTGCAGGTTTCCAGTTTGTAAACATGAGTAAAATTACTTGGCTACTTCAAAAGCCTGTTGTTTGGAATGATGTTTACAGTGATGCAAATGTCAAGCTAAGTGTATTATTAAATACCATAAATGACCCAATCGTGCAATGCTCTAAAAGTTCCCAGCTTCCATTAGCACAACTGAAGAGCTTAAGGTTGTTCCACAGTATTACAGATCAAGCCTCTGAAGGAATATAATACGGAGCTCCTACATGAAGCTATGTTTTGTAAAAAATAACTCCTTGACATCTTGTGTTCTTTGCAGAGGAAGATCAAGTAATTGTATCTTGTAAAAAAACACACCACCTTTTAAATTAATGAGCCTCGAACACAGTGTGAAGATTTGGTGGGTATTGATTAATACAAAGGGTCTCTCTGCTTCTCTGTTAAATGTTTACTGGCAACACAGGTAGCAGAGCACTCTTCTAATAATATGCATATCAGTCTTTCAACATCAGTGTTTAATTCCAACCAAGAATTACCACCACTCCTGTCAAGAGGAACATCAGAACACAGACTGTTCAGGGTGATTTTAGGGAAAGTGATACATAGTTCTGAAAAATTTAAGTTTCTCCTAAGGTAAAAAAAAAAAAAACAAACCAGAAAACAGCATTCCCAATGCCATCTTGTAAAACTAATTTTGGTCATCTCTTCCTGTAACATGATTTCATAAATCTCATTTTCTATCAAATTTTCTGAGTTGGGAATTGTTCTAGTACTAGGGCTGCAATGACCTATTATTGTTTTCTTGTAGATTTTCTTAAATTTCACCACCGTCTAAATTAAACAGATTAACTGAAAATTCACTGAACTGGAAAAAAATAAAAAACAAAACCAAAACCAAACCCCACAACAAAAAATGAAGTATAAGCTAGAAAATGTAAGCAAATAAAAACTTGTATTGCTTGCTAAATTCACTCCCTACCACATTCTGTATTTGTCTCATCTACTGTGGGTTCCCTTTCAAACTAATCACATGGAAAACAACCCACTGTCTGGAGGGCACTAGAACTACCCATGCATTATGAGTGATTTCTTAGCTTTTGAACAATCCTATTACATACCTGCTTCTAGGTTTTCCTGTACTAGCTGATTTTCTGCTCACCACACTTAGGCCTTACCATCACTGTGCTTGAGTGTGAGTGTTGCGGGGAGGGATATCCACCCAAACAGGTTAAAATACTGCATCATAAGACAAACCAACAACTCACTGCTTGTCTTGTAAAGCCTGTGTTCTACCTTCACAGTGTCTATCTCAGTAACGTAACGGATGATTACTGCAGAAATTCTATGCAGAAATCTTGGATATGCACAGTAATTGAATGCATTTGCTTTAAATCTGTGAACCTGTTCAGGAAAATGAATCATACAATCATTAAATAAATAAGGACTCAGCAGCTATAATTTCCTTCTACGCAGATGATCTTTAAGGACCATCTGTCACTTTCTCAAGGGCAGCTTTTTTTTTTCTTCTTGGCAAACTCATAAACAAAAATATTTTTCTTCAAATGAGTGAATGTCATCTTACTGTGACAGTTTTCTAACTGAACTCCACAGCCAAACTGGCAAAACAAAGAAGAAAAAGTACTCTGTGCCCACCGCTAGTTACCTTGTAACGTACAGGCTTTCACCAGGCCAAGGAGTATCCCAAAATCTCACAAAGGCAAGCATACTGCTTGCATTTGTCAGACAAAGCTATTGCACCCACCAGTCTGAAACCCTTCTCAGAAAAATGCTAGTAGACACAACAGATGTAGAAATAATAGTGAATAATGAATAATGAACATACAACTCAGTGAAAATGACTAACATAATTTAAAGTAATATATTTTAGTAGCTCTCACAAAGGTAATACAACTTCTAAACGATGTTATCCAAAATATAATTTATGAATAATAGTGCTCTAACCTGCAAAACTTAAAAGCAATCTGAAAACCAAACCTCTTTGTCCAGCACTGCCACAGTTTAAGCTATTTATATCCTCTACTATAATACATTCATATACAAAGGCACATGATTTCTTTAGCCCATAGTGTGATCTAAAATACAATCCCTTTATTTAAAAAAAAACCAAACAAACAACAAACAAGCAACAACAACTTCTTGACTTATCAGGGTTGGAAATAAAGTGATGGGTTGTGCAGTATTCTACTTTGTATTTTACTACACGTAGGAGGCGTATTATTATTGAAGCATTAAAAACTAAAGGCACTAAAACTGGAAAAAAAAATTACTTTTTTTACTATCAAATACTTTCACATAGAAGCATGAAAGCTTAGTACAAACTGTGTCTTGCTCGTCTAAGGAAGGGATCTCCCAAAATGTCTCCATTAGCATCTCAAACTTTTTCTCTTCTTAGAAATTGGAAAAATCTTTAGATGTGTAAAATCCTTTTACAGAGAGACAAGAAAGAATGTTAACAGAAGTTTTGGCTTCTTGGTTAGGAATAGTACTCCTTTTTTCTGTAACAGATTTAAATAGAAATTCTGTTTTTAAATTCCATTCACAAAGTACTGAGTCCAACTAGTCTAGTAAAAAGCATTACCAGTTGTTCATTTCCATTATGAAAGACATATTTGTATTTACGTAACTTCCACCAGCATCTGACCACCTCATTAGCGAGTCTTAAATTAAGGAAACAGAGAGTAACAGTGAGTTATTTTGCATTTATCAATGATGAGAAGTAGCACAGAAGACAGAAAATACAAACTATACTACAAATAGCCACTACAATCAAGAACACTCATGCATAGCTAAGCTGACCCGAATGAGAGGTGGAGAGTATGTATTCCCATGTTTTTTATTTCTGACATACAGCAGTAAGGTATCAGATCTTCTCTACCAAAGCTGCTTTCCAGTCTCCAGCTATCACTTTTCCTGAAATTCTGAAGATGGCCTTGCTCTCCTAATCTAATAATTTCCTAATAAAGCTTTTGGCTTCTTTCTTTCAAATTCTACTCCTCCAGAAACACTCATTTTTCTTTTGATCTTGTATCTCCTCTGTTTATGACTATTTTCAGCTACTTCATTTAGGTCCTGCCTAACTGCTTAGACATTTAAAACTCTGTCATGCACTTCCACTGAGTCACTGATGTGCCTCTCAGTATGTTTCTTCCTCTTCCTCAGTTTCTCATAAGAACCACATTAGTACATGACATCAGGTAGATAATAAAAAGGTTAATAACAAAATTAAGTTAAAAAAGTAATGTTTTATATGTATTCTATGTATCAAATTGATTCCCAATACACAAAAAAGAATTGAGGCTGAATGAGTGGGGTTTAGGAAAAAGAAAGTCAGAATAATATCCTGATTCAAAACTCAAAACCACTTTCCACAGTGAACTCCCTTGCTGGAAAATGAACAGTAGTCTTAATGTGTCACTCATCAAACATCCCAGCTTCAGTTCAGCAGAGCTGGGAATAACAGCATATATTCTGCAGTCCTGGCAAAGAGCAACCATATTGAAATTACTTTAGTCAAATGCAGTAAAGCAGGATAAGAAAGCTCTCTATTCATCTTGCTTTAACATCAGAAATATAGCTAAGGCCACTAGCTACAGCCACTGACACACATTAAAAAAGAGACAACGTATCTCATCAATACGGAAAGCACCTTCCAATCATGATTCAGAAGTAAGAACTTGCCCAGCTAATTGCTAACAAATTAAAGGTACAACATATTCTATAGAACATCTCCACAGGCGATCTTTTGCAACGGTACTGAAGTTTGCAGTAGCTGCTGCTGAGAAGGATGAGTAGCAGGGAGGAATGTAATCCTGGAATCAAAGAGCAACTACTGACATTGCATCCTGGAGCCAGTGAAAGGTTGTGAAGTTTTCAGAGTATGTAAGGGACCAAAGCCAGGATGAGGTCCTGGAACACCTTCAGTTCCTTAAGGGGTGACAAGAACAGTGCCCTCTCTACAGAGCAGTGGTTCACTGATGCCAAAGCAGCCCATAGCCAAAACCAAAGGAGTGGATACATGTTTGCATTACTTTATCCTGGCTTCTTTTGAATATGTCAATACAGAAGAAAGTTGAACAAGGGCCAGACTGAACATTTCACCTAGAAGGTAGGATTCTCAGCACAGTGGACTTTAGCTAATTAGGTACAAGACGTAGGCTTAGATTACACTATACCTACAAAAAAATCAATATAAATGTCATGGAAGACCTAAAATAAAAGTTTGCTTTGTTGTGGTGTTTGTTTTTTTCTGTTGTTGCTGATGGTTTTTAAAAAACACAGTATTTTGATCAAAAGGGAATTAGAAATAATTTAAAAAACCCAACAAACAGTGAAAGAAAAATAGCTTTTCTAAAGGGTGACTACAAAGGTCAAGGAAAAAAATAGTATTCAGTGAGACAATTGAGAGAAACAGGGTGGTGCATCATGAATGCATCCCTACTATAACCAATAAAGCCTTTTCAAAGTTTGGGCATACGCACACCCTGCAGTGTAAGTATGAGCACAGATATCTGACACAGAATCATAGAATGTTTTTTCAGAGATCAGAGCCTTTTAAGAATCATAGTATGTTTAGCTCCTTATATTGAGTATTAGATGGCATTCGTTTTGATGTACGCTCAATGATAGCCTTCCCATTAACTACAACTGGTCAGCAGTGTTTGACTATGTAACAAGTATAGCTTCAAAAGACTAGAAAACGTTTCTATCTGTGGAATGTTTCTAGCAGACAAGTGGAAGTGAAGAAACAAAAAGAGTAAGCATAATGGTCCCAACCCATCCTTAGGATTTCCTGCTCCATACTAGTTGTAAATTATATACCAGCTTTCTAGCTAATGAGGCAAAAGAAAGTAACCAGTTGTATTTAATTTCCATTTAGCTTTATTTTCCAACAGTCATAATAAAATATTCCAAAATTAAATATTATATACTTTTGTATCTATGTTTTTATGAACTTATAATTGCTCCTCAATTTCTAACTCCTTCTGTTAAAGGATACTGAATGTTTTCCTTTCAGGTCAAGCACTCTAAACAGGATATAATTTTCCCATGCCACAGAAAGAATAAAAGTTCATGAGGAAACTGATGTTTAAAATATGTTTCTTTTCGTAATTAGAAGGTATCAATTTAATAGAGAAGCATTTTGCATGATGTTTTTGTAAAAAACATTAAAAAAATCAAGCTTTTTACAGGATTAAATTCTGTTTGCATTCTATAGTCATAGCTGACACTTTACCTTTCCTGTAGTTTCTCCTCAGAGATCTGTAATTCTTCTTTTAAGTTTTGATATCTATCGTCCCTTAACAATCTAGTGCCGTCATAGAGGGTCAGTTCTCTGTCATGTATTAGTCTGTTTGAAAATAAAGAATAAGCTTTATCTAGCCTCTGATCACTTTCACATATACTTATATCAATTAATGCTTTTTTAAAAGCTACCTCAGTCTACATGGGTGATAGTAAAAAGAAAATTTAAGATACAACCAGGTGTGTAGGTAAAATAATATGCATCAGTAAACAATTTCAGCACATAGTCAGTCAGTCAACTTAGTTTAAACAGATGTGGTAAGAAAAAGAAAAAAAAATCCTGTCTTACCAGTAGACTGTGCACAAATAGCATGAAACAACCCATTTTGTTATACTTGTACCAAGTAATATACTTTAGATTTGTTTCTTGAAGCAATGTATTTCAGTTTCCTTTAATGATTAACCTACATACAGACCCACCTTTTACTTTTTTTTGTGCAGAAGTTGATTAGATATAATACATGCACATGTCAAAATCAGAAAGGAAAGCTAAACTGATTAAAAAGGGAAAACAAGGCAAGCATAGTTTTCTCTTCTAGTCTTCTGCATAAATGTATAGTAAGAGAAGGCACAAAATGTTTTTGCTACAACCTGCCTTGAAAGCTGCTGATGTCCTTTAAGTTTGCAGTATACGATGCAGGAACATGAAATAGCAGAAAAAATTGACCTGACAGTATAGATTACTATTAACATAGCACTTGCCATTGCTACTACTCTTCTGCAAAGTTTATTTCATAACTTAATAAAAAATAACTTAATGTTTAGAAGGAGTTTTTTGCCATCAAAACGAAGTATGTTTTTACATGTAACTGCAATGACTGCATTTTATTTAGAAGCAGAATGCAAAGTATTTTAAACATTTTCTGACATCTCGCATTTTCAAATCATTGTGCAAATATTACTGATTTTTAGATTTCCTAAGTTAGGAGTAAAATTGAACTCTTCCTTCAATTCAGAGTTACAGTCTGTATTTACAAAGAGCTGAAATTTCCTGTATTATACACTTAGAAAGAACATGAAATAATTTATTCTGCTTTTAAGTATGTGAAGACTGAACATCACATATTCTATGAAACTTCAATGCTCAGCTTGATCTTTACAGTATACTTGAACTTACGGAAATTCATATTCACCAAAAGGAACTTTATTTCTCAGTATGCATCTGCTCAATGAACAGCTCATGCAGAGCCAACTTATCCATGCTCATGTCCTGACCTTTGAAGTACTGCTAGAGTGCCAGGGTTAATTCGATGAATGCCATCAAGAATAACAAGCTTTCCTTCCAGGGCAGCAGTAACAAGTGGCGATGGTCTCCAAGCAGTGTCTCCATTAGGAAGTGTGTACCTTTGCTGTAGCAAATCTCTAGCTGTCATATCCTGTAAGTATCAATTAATCAGATTAATATATGTATGCTCTACTTTCTGCATTGACAAGTACACGCTTTCTGCTTAAAAAACTGAATTCTGTTTATCCTGAGAATATACCCAAAGAAGACTAGCAGGAAATCTTCAATTACTTTTCCAAAGAGTATTAGAAATACACACAGAAATCTACACATACACTATGTTAATTAGTCTTTGGAAGTTCTAGACCTGCCAGTAGCACCTCTTTGAAAACAGAACAAAAGCCTTCCCCCCAACCTTTAAACATAATGCAAGCGTATGACAACCTGTACATAGCTTTGTGTACAGAAGGGGGCAGCAATTTACACCTGGAACAAATGAGTCATTTATTTCATGTAGAAGTCACCTGAAAGAGCAAAGATTTCATCTTTAATCTTGACCACAAAGCAGCATGACATTCCACCTCTCAGCAGGA